GAAACTGATTTCAGGCATCAAGAATTGCCTCCTACTCCTTCTCCTCTAATCATGGCGCTGGGAAATCGTTAACAGTCATTATCAGTATGAAACAGGGCATGATGGCTGACCACGCCGCAGATCGGATCGCTCCGATACCTCGCCGATAGTCATAGCGGGCGACCCGCATTGAAGCGACTGAGTAGCAACTAGTTTACTTATGTAGCAGATCAAAACTTGGTTCGTGGGGTATTCAGCAAGAGCATATGACTGGTCAGTGGACAGTAACCGACGTATGGACACTCAGTAGCTAATTTCACAAAGGAAATAGCCATGCGGTGACGTTGATGAAGCCGTTCTTTAGTTAGTTCTGTGCAAACAACTGTTGTGATCAGATGGATCAAGAGACAAGAATTCGTGAAAATGTGACATTGTCAGCGGAATGATTCTTAAAGTTATACATAATGCCGAAGAAGTATCAAATACTCATAGGATGAGGAAGTACCTTACCGTGTGCCGTACAGTAACTGGGCAGTTCTAGTGGTCGGTTATTCGTTGATCACTAAGCCGGTTTCATCGTCAAAGTAATAAATCATAATAATGGCGGTAAAAAAACACCATTCGCAACGCAATTCACAAGGACTGCTCAGCCAAGCCGGCGAATCATATTCTCTAACCGGAAACACGATTCTGACGCCGGCAGGCCAGAATTCAGCGAATCCAACGATCGCTTCTGGCTCAAGCAACAAACAAAAACGGCACACGAACAAAACTCGCTTTCCCACACTTTCCACGCAACGCCTGTTTTGAGTTTTTAGACGAAAATAATGAAAACACGCCACCGCCGACATAAGCAAAACACTGCAAAGCTATATGATTTTGTGTGCTTATTTCGTACAGTGATTGCGCATGAGGAATGAACGAGGAAAATACGTCAATCTCGGTGGAACAGACGTCTCGGCTACCACAGACTATTGGTCTCAACTTAGAATTACACGTTGTATGCTGACACAAGCGCGAAATACATTCGTTATATGTCAGAAGCAGCAGAACAATTCACATGCCTTTTCGTGATAAGAACAAAGGTGCGCAAGATCTTCTTGAAGACTAGAGGGAAAGTTTGTTATGTTCACAGATAGTAATATAAACTACGTTGCAAGGTTAATCAACGTTTCACCAGTATACGACCTCAGCAAGCAGCACAGCGACCAAAACCTTACTGACACATTTACATAAGAAAATAAGGAACACCTGATTCACTTGAATAAAAGGTGGAAACTGAAAATTAGCCCCGGAAGAGGAAAACAGCAAACTTGGTAAATGATCCTTCGATAGCGTATTCAGAGACAGTAGTCGAAGTAGTTGCGACATCACGTTCGAACGACCGGTTCAAACGAAGGTGTAACGAGCACAAAAAGTATAAAAGGAAAGCGCCTGCAGTAACGTAATATCAGATCTACAGGTAAAAAACATTTTGCACCTATCTCACTGTACAATCATGTTAATACCTTCGATAGTAACAAAGTTGAATGACAGAGTGACAAAATATAACACCGATGTTCTAGGTGGACATAGCAAAGAACAGAGCTCAAAAAGAGATGGGTTCAACGTATCTCTCTCTGTAGAATCATGCTGGAACTGTTGAGGCTAACAAAAATTGCATGACATATTTGTTATAATTGATAACGGCCGATCCGCTCAAAAGTATGACCATAAATTTACAAGAGATACTGTTGGCTGTAGGTCGCACATATCACTCGTGTATCCAAACCGATCGCCATGGCTCACATATGGAACCAGCAACATTCAGAATTGTGTAAATTTGTTGCAAAACGTCAAACGGGTCGGCCGAGTTGTTACCAACAGCAACAAACAACTCCGTCATTCGAACTCTGTTAGCTTCGAC